AGACATGGGATATTAGGAAAAAAACAATTTATAGATACTAATAAGTCTTGTAATAAATAATTATTTAAAATTATGTGATTACATTTAACATAAATTTATTATTATAATAATTTTATAAAATGATAAAGAATATACTATAACTTTATCTTAAAAGAATTATCCATGTACGAGGATTTCTAATAAATAATCTTGAACAAATTTTAAATTCTGCAAGATTCGAATATAATTATTATCTACATTTCAATTCTATCACTAAATCTAAAACTTCATAAGCAGTCTGGATCATGAACTCCAATCATTATCATGAGCTATATTGTAATCTGACAGCATTCTCTAATTATTGTCAACATAGTAGAGTTAACTTTTTTTGGGTGTTTATTGCTCATTCCAAAATTGTGGAAAATCTTGAAAATTTTCTTTATTAACCATGAAGATTATTCAATATCTTGGAGAATATTACAGTTAAGTAGCGTCACTACTATCGTTTTCAAAATGGAACTTAATATCACCACCAATTTAAATATATAGATTAAAAAAAATAAATAAATTTTATTGATCTCGTACCTTGCACTCTTTAACATTTTTTACCTTTATTCGAAAAGTACAGAGTGGAATTTAGACAATAATTTCAACAAAAAAATTGATAAAACTTCTTGTGTCCAAACCTCAATTTTATTCATAGTCTCAATTTAACTGTTGGAAGTGTATGGGCAAGCACAGACAACTACTTTTTAAAGTTGTCTGTCACTAATTGTAGGGATTCCTCATCTTGGAAGCCAACTTGTAAAACTTCAGATGAGATTTAGGCAACATTAAATAGATAAGGAAGCTATCGATTTTAAGTTTATACTACAAATTTCATAATTGTAATCAATATTTAAATAGTTATTAAATCCAAACAGACCTTGAAATTATTTATAACCTAATTTAGCTGTAGACTAATTTTATTCTTTTGTTCTAGATAAAATGTTTGTTTAATCCATGCTATTATGCATTTATTAGAAGTAATAACACCATTTTCAGCTGTTTTAGCTGTTACAGATAAAATAAGTTCGATCATTCTCAAATTCATCACATATATTCGAAAATAAGCTGAGTAATTTTCCCCTTAAACAGCAATATAATTGTAAGAATTATTAAAAATTGAATTATAAATGATAATAGAACCAATGATTTCTTATTTCAAATAATTGATCATCTCTCATAAGCAATAATAAAACAAGATGAATAAAATTCATTAATAGCATCAATTATACAAACATAGGATTCTCCTATATATGATTAATTTTTCTTTTTATAAAGAGTTTTTTCAATGGATTTAGAAAGTAACAATAATTTTATTGTTATTAGTTCAATAAAATGAAGTACCTTTAGTTAGTAGTATATAAAACATTCGATTTTTTGAAGCAATTATATAGCCAGGAGTTGAGGTCTTTACTTATTTGCAATGATTGATTAAATTAGAAGGGTAAGAAAATATAATTGATGACAATGTTGGAGATTTTAATTTCTTGATTTTTCTATAATACTTGATACTAAATGTTTGCGAGTTGTCTTTAAAAAAGGCTGACATAAGATTTTGAATATTCATTGATATTTTTGTATTAATATTTATTAAAATAAAAATAATAATGGAGATAGAAATTTCTTTGAAAATAATTAAAATAAATATATTAAGTACAAAACATAGACATTATATTGATATTTCATATAAGAATGAGAAGAATAAAGAATTTTGTTTATTCTTTCTTATTAAAAAAAATACAAAATTAAAATTCAAAAAATAATAATTAAACAGTATCAATAGTTCATTGAAGCGATGGTCTAGATGGATAACAGACATATTCGATAACGTTATGCAAAAATAACGATTGGGTTTAAATTTAAAATGATAAAGCAACATCTATTTCTATTAACGAATTACTCACATTCAAATAACCCTACAATGATAAAGAATTATTAATTTACAAAAGGACTAAAAAATGAAATATATCCATATTTAAAATATTTATGAGAAGATAGTGTTAATAGAAAATCAAGATTCTTGTAAAACCTTGTTATAATGTGTATTAAAACTGTTTATTTTCAGATTATTTGCCTCACCTAATATTTTCCAACTCCTGGAGTAAATTATTTACCAATATATGCAAGTCGACCTTATTATGACTCAAAAGGGGCAGTAATTTATTTTTAGCTTACAGGAGGAGCTTGGTAATTATAATTGGTTGGAACAGCTTATATATCTACATTTTCTTTAAATCTTGGTTTCCACAATAAAAGCCAGATTTTAGCACATCTATTTTTTATAAATTTTGGATAAACTTCATTTATTTTATATTCTATTTCCAATACTATCTTAATCTAATCTATATTGAAAAAAGGATTACTTATTTAAATGAACCATACAACTGACTAAGCTGTTATTTTACTTAGTTAACTTTAAAATAGTAAACTGATATGACTTGATAGATGAATGTTAGAAGATAGTTTCAACGGATGGGAAGACTTTCTTATACTTATACAATATTTAATTGGTGAATTAAATGATAATACACCATATACAATTCGTTCCTACTTAAAATGTAAATTAGATTTGTTTAGAAAAAATTCCTAAAAAAATGAAAAAATTTTGACTATGGAGAAAATGAAAATGCTTTTTTTCATTATTCCAACTAAACTAATTAATTTAATAAAATAAAATAATGAAAAATTTGGGGATTCGATTAAAGTTTAGAAATAATTTAGGAAAAATGAGTAAGTTATTACAAAGCACTGTTGATTCTTAATTAAAAAACATCATTTGCAACTTTTATGAATATTTGCAAAACACACAAAAGATTCTCAAATTTTTATAAGCTTAATTAGATGAGTTTATATCTTTAAAAAGTAATGATGCCTTAAGAAGTTTGAGCATAAATTTATAAAAATTGTGGAGCGTTGAAAAGTACAGCAACATGATGAGGTAAATCTATTTATATAAATTGGTGGTAACTCCATATATGATGGAAATTGTAGTTTAAGTGTTATCCGAAATGATCATTAAAGAAACTGCGATAAATAATTTGAAATAAAATTGTATAAATAATTTTTCAAAGGAGCTCAAAGCGTTGTACAAAAGTAAATATTTGATTGAAATGTATCAATAACAATTGAACAAGCTTGTGTCTTCAAACAATGGAGATGAAAACTCTTAGAAAGTTACATTGTTTGATAAAGTAAATTTAGATAAACTAAACTTTCTAGAAATTGCTGTCTTATTTTTGGAAAAAATAGAATAAATACAATTCTAAAACAAACCTAGTGTTCTTAAAAAAATACTAAATTAAAGGCCTAACTCTTGTAAATATTCCAACATTTGGAATTAGATTATTTATTAGATAAAGTTGCAATTCAAAAAGAAAAAAAAGAGAGAAGCTGTTATTGAAGCAGTTATTGATGCATTAAAAGAATTGAATCTTTCAAATTATGATTTTTATGATGAGTTTATAAATTAACATCATTAGAAATAAATAGAAAAGTAGAGAAAATTAGGAAAATCTATTAATATTGATCGTTTTCTACATGATCTAAAAAATATTCAACTAACCTTGCGAAAGCAATGAGCATGAATGAAATGACTTAAGTATAATATTAACAATAAGGATTATTGTATAAAGAAGAAAAAAAAAGGAAAAATGGCTCAATGATTTTTTTAATGATGATGATTAATTTGGATCTTATAGAAAAGATACACGAAGTAGTTCTCTAGTTTAATCAAATGGTGCTAACTTTTAAATTTATCCATAAATCAAAAAAAGAGTTCTTAATTGAAGCTGATTTATATGAAGTGTTAGTTAAATCAAAAGATTTTGATATATAAATATTGAATATTATATTAGAAATATTGTAAAAAGAAAATAATCAAGATTAGGATTGCTTAAAGTTTCTCGAAAATATAGATGTAATATATTTTTAGACTTTTAATTAAATTGAAAATATATCACTTTTTGAAAAATAAAATTAATTTGATAAGTTTAAAAAGACTATTAATTCAATTACTCATTTGATTGAAACTATAAAAGAACATGATATTAATCCTTTTAATTATTCCTCTGAAATCTATGCTGAAACAAGATAATATCTCATTAAAAAAATATCACAAGTGGTTAGGATAATAGAATTTTTGAAATTCTTAGTTCATCTCACTAATATAGATAATAAATTTATAATAAGTGGGTCTAATGCAATTAATGTCTCGGTTGAAATGAAAGTGGATCTAACGAATTAAAATTTTGAAAATATAAGAATTGAAAATACTAATTTATTTAGGGGTAATTTTGCTAAATGCAATTTATCTAAATCTTAATTTAAGAATGTGAATATAAATGGAATTAATTCAAATGGAGCTTAATTAATTCGATGTAACTGGCAATAATTAAAAATAAACGATTTGTATTAATTGGATGGTCATAATAGCACTGTCTACTCAATCTGTTTCTCTCCTGATGGAAATACATTAGCTTCTGGTAGTAGAGATGACTCTATTAGTCTATGGGATATCAAAAACAAGTTTTGTACAGATTATAGATTTAAAGAAATTTAGGTTAAAAATTCAAGATATCCTTTTTTTTAATACCCCTCTGCAGTAAAAGAATATTATTTAAAATTTAGAAACATCTAATATTATGGTTTTACCCAGACTTCAATTTTTCAAGGTTTAAGAGAGTTTTTTATAAAAAACCGTTTCCTTTTAGGAGAATTATAGGAGTAACACTTGATTAATTTAAAAACTAACCTATATTAACCCTTAATTTAAATCTATTTTAATATACTTCTTGTGTCCAATATTTGTTGATAGAGTTCTATTTTATAGTTTTTTTCTTTTTTAACAATCTTGAAGCATTACTAAAATGGAAATTAATTTAGCACATTTAAAAATTACAATAATAATTATTAGTTGCATGAATGCAATAATATCTTAATTCTTTGTATACTGTTTTTTTGGTATTATTCTTATCATAACCAAGCATTTTCTATCAATTTATATTTCGAATGTGAATTGTATAAGATTTATAAAGTATATTCTACAACTAAATCTTTCAGCATTTATCATTTCTAAGTTTTCTAATCTTCTTATTTCTTGAGAGTGAATATATCTTATTCACAAAATAATATATTCTCAACTCATATTTAATTAACAGTAATAC